ACTTGGGCTATTTGTGCACAGGGATTCTTCACTTTCCACAAGAACTCTTGCAATAAAATTGTCCAAAATGGATGTTTATATGTTTTCCATGTTCATGTTGCTATTGCACAGCATATAGCTGACCTCAGCTACTCAAAAAGTCTCCCAAGTACAAGGCCCACTCATATGTATACACGAAAATCTTTATTTAACCCATGATAATCGATTATATATTTACATTTTAAAACCACTAACTCTATATAATTATTTTCGCTATATAAGTATCGAATTATACCCCATCGGGTAGTGAATCCTCTGCTTTCAACCCACGTCTGGCACGCGATAAATCTGTAAAGTAGCGATTATAGTTAGAGATTTTTAACAATGCATGTAATACAATGAAAAGATTAACACAACCATGTTAAATAATTACTTACCTATGTTTCCCCGCCTCTTATCACAAGATCTTTCTGGTATCTCAGTTTGACTTTTTTTCGGTTGGGAGAGTGTAATTCGGTTATCTCGTGCGTCGCGTCGTTGGGATCTTGTCGAGAATCATAGGAACAGTATCTCTTTCTACCCTATCTTTAAGGATATTCGAGAAATCCTGCTGGTGGTGGAAAAATAAGCTATGTACAAAGTATACTATACTATGACAGATGCCTTTAGTGACTATAAAGTTTTCATGAAGCAATAAACGCGAGGAGACCTGTCTAGGTCGGAGTGAAACAACTATTTTAAGTTGAGGAAAACAAAGCTCACCTCCTTCGAAATTCCCAATGCAACCAAGTAACAGAAACTATTTGATTCGTTGTTCTCGTCCCAATGATAGTCACTTATGGTAATTATAATTGATTGCGATCATAGGGAAAATCCAAAACTTCTAGGTGCGAACGCCCTCACTTTAATTTGGATAGCTTCTCGTATGGATTCCCATAATATTTTTTAAGAAATTGATTAATAGAATTGGATAACGGGTAGAGGTCGTAAAGCAATTTATCGACGCACTTTCGATGATCGGAATTGTGGCTACTTGCAGTATTAGAACTAGTATAGGAAAATGGATTGTTCAAGGTAAACGCACCAAAAACGCTCAATAAAAATTTTCCAGAAACTTTCGCTTCTATGTGATGGGTGCTCTAATGTATGAAAATAGCAATAATTCACCACGTCCGTTGCCTTTTCCAAAAATTATCTA